CAGGGTTTGAACTCAGGCCCTTGTGCTTGCCAGGGAAGCACTTATTCCATTGAGCCATCTCCCCGGCCCCTCAATATTTAAATATAAGGTTGCTTTATTTGTGCATTTTTCTAAAAAGTACTCTTTTCAAAAGATGATTCCATAATTAAAAACAACTTTGGCCAGCTATTGTGGCTCACCACCTGCAATCTCAGCAGGAGGTGTGAGGGAGGCTGAGGCAAGAAGATCACATATTTTAGCACAGCCCACATAACTCAGTGAGACTCTGTCTCAAAAGATAGAAAGGGCTGAGATGCAGTTTCATGCGAAGGCCCTGGGTTCAGTCTCTTGTACCAAATAAACAAAAATACCTAGAAAACAACTCTAACTTTCTGCTGTCAATTAAGAGTAACAGTGTGGCCAGGGAGATGGCTCAGTGGATAAAGCGCTTCCCTGGCAAGCTCAAGGGCCTGAGTTCAATCCCCGTTTCCGCCAAAAAAAAAAAAAAAGAGGGAGTAAATTAAGAGTAACAGGGCCAGGGCGATAGCTCAGTAAAATAAGCAACTTGCCTGGCAAGCTCAGGGTCCTGAGTTCAATCCCCAGTACCGCAAAAAAAAAAAAAGAATAACATAAATCAAACAACTGAGGGGTTCATAAGTTAAGATATGCTTTTAGAGTGATGAGGGGAATGATTAAAGTATGTTCTGTGCATAAACAAATCTGCTTAATGAAACCTACTCGTACATAACCAAAATGCCTTAAAAATGTAAAGGTAATTACCACTGTGAAAAATATTGAGGTCTGAGGTATAGTGTAGCCTTTCTCAGGGTATTTGCTTAAAACCTTGTCTCTAAGATATGCTATTTAATTAAGATATTACAGTGTGAAACGGAAGGTTAGTGATCATAATGTTTTTACTAACAAAGAAAAAAAGCTGTCTTCTATTTTGAAAGCATGAACAATATCCCCAATACTTGATTTTTTTAAAAAACATGCTTTTAAACAATAAAAAGCATTTTCTGAGTTCAGTGGTAGAGTGCTTACCTACCATGTTTGAGACCCCAGGTTTGATATATGGCACCGTAAAATAAATACACAAGTGTATACAACTAATTCATGTGGGGTACCTAGTTTTTAAACAAATATTTCAACTGTACCAATAGTGTCAATCTCTCCATGTTACTGGATGCACTGTACGGCTAGGAGAAGAAATAGAAAAACACACTAATGAAATTGGGTCATAATTGTGTGGAGCAGGAAATGGAATGAAATATATTCTAGGCTATAAAATGGGTTACTGAATACTAAAAGATTAGCTCCTACATTTACCTAATAATAAAACATATTTCCTAAAGCTAACATTAACTTTTATTATTGGACTTTGAAAATCTCATGATGTATATTTAGAGCACGTCTCTTCGGATTTTTGTACACTCAGTAGACATGGATTGATATTGTTAGACATCTTGTGCTGTAGTCTGAACAGCTGTGTCCCCCGAGTTTTACATGTTAAATGTGATATTAGGAGGTGGGGGCCTTTGGTAGCTGGTTAGCACATTAGAAAGCCATCTTGGATGGGATTAGTGTCCTTATAAAATAGGACTTGAGGGAGACCCTCACCTCTTGCTACAAGGACCCAGTAAAAATATGGTTGTCTACAAGCCAGAATGTTGGTCCTTGTTAGGAATCTATTGGCACTTTGATCTTGGGCTTCCAGGCTTCTAGAACCAAGAGGTAAATTTCTGTCATTTGTAAGCCACCTAGTTCATGACATTCTATTGTAGGAGCCTTAAAGATCTATGACATCTTGCTTTCAACAATAATCAGCACATGTACCTTGTTAACACTTCTTTAGGACTTTAAGAACTAGCAACATATTTTGGATTACCTGAGTAAGCACTGCGGTGTGCTCATAGCCACAGCTGATATAAG